GGGTGGGGTGGTGGGTGCTGCCAATGGTCCTGGGGCGCTGGAGCCCCGCCGCTCCCCCGGGAGCCGCTTTCTGGTTTCTCCCTTAAAGGGCCGGGAGGAGAAGGAAAGGGCTTGTGCAGGGGCTGCTGGGGTTGTGCTCGGGTACCAGGAGGAGCGGCCCAGGGCTGCGGAGGACAGATTAGCTCTGTGCCGGGCTGTTCCTGGGCGCTCGCAGAGCTTGGAGATAGAGAGAATTGGTGTGTACCGAGCAGATACAAGGTGGCTGTTGCTGGCGTGTTCTAAGTTTTATTTAAGCCGTTTTACGCTGACCAAGTTTGAAAACGCTTGTTTTGTATGAATTGCCAGATACTGAATGCCTCTCCTATTTGAGGACTAAAACTAAGTCTTCGACTGGGCTGACGGGGCTGGGCTGTTGGCGAGATGGGTTGTCCCGCGCTGCTTCTCTCTGTGTGTGACCTCCTTGAGGGCCACGCCTGAAGTTTCAGTCGGGGGATGGCCCGAAGCCGTCCTGGCGGCAAACTGGACTTGGACTCCGGACCTCCTGCAGCACTGTCAGAGGGCCCTCGGGTGACGTCCCTGTCCCAGCGCTTTTCTCTTGCTCGCACTTCTGGGGTCGGGCTTTTGGCCCTGGCGGGAAGGCACAGCTAGCAACCCAGGGGAGTAGGGACTAGAGAGTGCTCACTCACCCCTCCCACCAGGGTCTCCTCTCCCCCTGCCCTTTATGTCACGTGCCCTGATTTCCCTAAGGTCCGGAGAAAAACAGACACAGCCCAGCCCAGTATATTTACAGGAGGTAGGTTTGGTGAATAAAAAGGTCAAGTGGTTGGGTCCAAGGAACGAGAGGGGAGGGGGAAGAGGGGACGGGACAGGACAGACACCTGGCAAGGCCCGCCCTGCCTGTCCCCCATCCTGGCCGGCCCGCCTGCTAGTGGCTGGCCTCCCCAGGCCACATTCTTGTGCTAAGTGCGAGAGGCAGTGGGAAAGGCAATCCTGAACCGGCCAAGAGCCCAAGAGCCGGCGAAGCTGATCCTGCGATGGCATTTTGTTTTGAACAGTTGCTGGGGTTGACGTTTCCTCATAAGGTAAGGTGTCACTGGACAGTCGGCTGCCCAAATGCCACATGTATAATTAGCCTGCGCACTCAGCACCTCGTCCGTGAGGACCACAGGCACGGGCTTGGCCGACCTGATCACTCAGTTGCCTTCTGGGCTGTTACAGGATTCCCGGGGGAGTGCAGAACTGGCCACCACAGACTCGGGAGGCCCTGGCCGGAAAGACTTTGACAGTGTAGCTTTATCTTTGATTTTTCTCTTTTCTTCTCTTTTTCGCTATTTTATCTTCTCTTAGTTTTCGGCTGAGGGGGAATTATTGGTTAGAAGATATCATACCTGATATCATAGAGTGCGGCTTTGGGATGGGTAGGACAGTTACAGAGAAAATCTGGCAGTATATTTATGCTCCACACTCAGCCCTTGTAGGCTGTTAGGCCTTTTCTATTCACACTAACCTAGGAGGACCAGCCAGGGATGGCATTGTGTATCCTGGTTTGGCTAGGTTATTTCCAGGCTTCTGGTTTGGACTGTTCACCTGTCTTTGTGCTTCCTAGAGGTCTCTCAGGAAGTTAGTGTCTGTCTAGATTGAAGCTTCTGGTTCCCCCTTCAGGCCTAGCCACTTGGGGCTGCTAGTGATCCTGTGGGGGGCCTGGAAAGCTCTATTCTCTGTGTACCTCACTCTAGCAGCCTGAGCTTCTTAGGAGCAGTGCCTCCTCTTCTCTGTCTGCCCAGATTGGAGCTTGAGCTTCCTACATACCTTCTCAAATTCCAGCCTCAGGTCAGCTTTAGCCTGTACTCTATGGCAGAGACCAGATTTCTCCAGCCTTGAACATGACCTTCCTTCTGTCACCCTGTGGGGTCACCATGGAATTCAACACTCAGCATTAGGCACTTGCATCAGTCTCCATCCTCCCCTTGTTTCTATGCCACTCAGCTATGCCTGATACTTACTAGAAGATTCTTTTCATTTCAAAACAAACAAACATCCCAAATCTTCCACAAGTTTAGTGGGACAAGATTAGCTTTTCTGTGTCAGCAAGAGCATTCCTTTCTTGATGAGAAGTAGGGACATGGTTTATTAAGTTTAATTTGCTTTTTATTGAACCAATAGAATGTTTTCTTACAGCAGGAAACAAGTTATAAGTGAATTTTTTCAACTTTGTCAGGCAATAAGTGTATTATCAATATACTTTTGAGAGTATCTTTTCTCAGTGCCTGTATGTGAACACATGGGCAAGCAAAATGACATGTAGAGATTTTTCTCCTACATAAAAAAGCCTTATACATCAAGAGATACAGTAGTTCTTATTTTTTTAAAAAGCAAACCACTAAAAAATCTTTCAAGCATTGAAAACAAGTGTACATCAAATTTAAGAGAGCTAGTGTATGACCAAAGACAGGTAAGTAACTAGGATCCAGACATCAAGTGTAGGGCACTAATTCCTTAGGCCCCTGACGTTCTTGAATGATTTCCTCACATGTTACCAACACCTCTTTCTCCTCTGCTGTTCCGTATTCCTTCAGTTGTAGTGGCAAGACTGGGTAGCTTTTTGCTTATTATTTATCCTGTTTATGTTGCTTTTATTTGTTGCTTTATAAGTGACAAAAAGGAACTTTCTTATGGTGTATTTGTATTTTTAAAAATGCGAACAAAATAATTTTTTATTATGCATTGTGATACAAACTCCTCTAATAATATATTGTATAACCACAACTCTTAATGTATTATAAAACAAATGTAAAAATATTATTAATAAAGCAGTATCAAGTACCTATATCTTAAGCTGATTCTACAAGGATGCAGTAGCTGAATCCCTATATGAAATGAGATTCATGGGAATATTATATTCTGTTGGGCATTTTTTTCATCAGTAGCAGAAAACAACAGATGTTTTTCTTTTTACAGGAAAAGCATATATTCATAATTCCTTGCAAAATTTCCTTTTATAAGGGTTTAAATACATTACTTTAAGCACATAAATGATAAGTTGTGGTGGCATCATTGAGATTTTATGTCTGTTTCTATATGATGTCTTTTAGGAATAATTGGGTTATTGGTCATTGATCAAATTTCTACACATATACATCTTACATTGAAGAAATCAGTAATATTTTGAATAATTATTTTTACTAATTCTATTGGACTGAATAATAGATACTGGAATAAATTTTCTTTTTGAAGATACCCAATATACATTACCTTTATCTCTTACTTTTAATATTTTCTATACTTCTCAGTTTTGTTAGCTTATATATCTTTCTATGCTTGAAAAAATTCTCTTCTTAGTGAGATAATACATATATATAAAATTTCCTCTGCTGTTATAAACAGCATTCTGTGAAAGTATACTACAGCACAATTAAAATTTTGGTTTAACTGAACGCTATTTGTTTAAACATAGTTTAGGGATGCATATATATATCAGTTGATGTTTTTGAAGTCAACTAAAACATTCCATCAAGCTAATGTGTCTGAGAGGACCATATCAGGCACAGACAGGTACTAGAAATGATAAAACACAGATAACTTGCCGCAAGATGATTTGCAGGTGGGTTGTATTATCTGCTGCCATGAGGTTACATGGGTCATATTACCATTTTTTTGAAAATTAATCTGTGTTGTTACAGAATTATCGAGTTATATGGGCCAATGAGATTTAATGAGATTTTATTATAGAAACTTGCTAAAATGAACAAATCCAAAAATCATTGCTTTTTAGAGGAAGAAATGGACTCTCTTTGGGTTTGTGTTGTTTCTTAAGAAATATGACTCTTCCTATTATTTTTTTAACAAAGAAAATAAGGTACTAGGACATTTTATGTCCTCATCCTGATTCCACATTTTCTACTGGTCATACTCCATTGTCAAAATATTCAGATTTTAAAAAAAGCCAGTGCTTTGGTAGAATACATGAAAAGTAATTTTCATTAGATGCAAACACATTTTAAATGTGTAACATATCTTGTTTTGCTTGAAGTTCCTCAATTGTGATCTGAAAACTAATTGTTTTGTGAGAGTTATCAGAAACTCTCATCATCCTCTCATTATATATTTATTATTCATTCTTAGGAAGAGTGTTTTTATTTTCCTT